CGAGCTGCAGGCTGAATCAGAACAGAGATGCAAGGCATCTGCGATAATATTCGCACAGCGATCGAACACGGACGTACTGACATTATCAGGTCACTCCTGGATGCATGTAAGTATCCTTTCTTTCCTCACTTCAAATCTTGCGCGAACTTCTCATGTACTAGGATAATAAATTAAGTAGGCTGGATAAGAACGTTCTTCATTTTTCGTTGTTTACATTGTCGACCTTTCTCTGTTGCAGGTGAGAACGGTAATACCACAGAGGGTATCACAAGGGACAAGATATTGAATCAACCGGTTTTGGAGGAAGGAACTTTCTTGTTATATGCCTCAAAGGTCCGTGAAGTTCTTTTCCAGACATGTTTTATCCATTGTTGCTATTCCAATTTTTATTGTTTTTAAATGTTTCTATTTGAATTATTGATAAATGTTTCTATTTATGCTGTTTATATTTAAGACCAACCAAGCAGACATTGTGAGAACTCTTCTGAATTGTGGTGCTGATCCAGCTGTGCAAAATGCTGATGGACATAATGCGGTAGATGTTGCCTCGAGTGATGCAATACGACGTATCTATATAGAGGAAATGTTGAGAGCAACAGCTGCTTCTGAGTACGTAAATATTAATATTCAACTTTATGCTTTCTTTTTTCAATTATGGAATATAACCATTACTTTAATCATATCAATTAGCACCATAGAACAATTGACATGTATTTTTTTACAGAGTAGACAGAGTAGTGCAGTTATTGGATGCAGGATTGGACGTTAATTCGTGGGACTCGCAGGGCAGTAAGAACACACCATTACATTGGGCAGCATGTTATGGAAACAAACACATTATTGCATGTTTACTTGGTAATGTATACATAGAGTGTTTACATTTAAAGTTAAATAGACATATGTTTGATATTTAGAAAAAACGAGAAAGAAAGCTATATAACATACAGTTCAGCAATACAAAATTTATAATCAGCATCTGAAAATAACATTCATGTTATTATTTCCATATAGATAAAGGAGCTGATGTAAACGCCGAGAATGGTTGTGGCGCTACGCCATTACATGATGCAGTGAATCGTGGTGACATTGCTATCTGTCAAGAACTATTGCAGGCTGGTGCAAATCCTCTTGTACGAGCTATCAAAGGGTAAGCGATTAATTGAATATATTGTTCTTGCACGTGTAAACATATTAAACTTTTTTTTTTTTCAGAACATTTGCAGGGAAAACGCCGTACGAATTGTCTAGAAAGAAACAATCTCTGCATTGTTTCCTTCAAAGATTTATATCAAATTTCATGCTGAACGAGAACGAAACAATACACAGTGCCACTATGTCGTACCCAGATACAAGCTATTGCCAGAAGAGTCTCACGTGCAATATGAGTCAATTGTCGGTCGAATCTAACAAGTCGTCGGATCCGGCGTACGATGTGCCTTCGCGTGATGCGGGCAAAGAGAGTCCTAGCAAATCTATTATTGATAAAGGAAGTATTTATAATTTGCTATGGCCACAGCCAAAGACTGTAAACGAACTAAAAAATTTTACGGCCCCTTTTATCGCTGGAAAAGAGCTTCTTATATCAATAATACAGGTAATATTTAGATATACGTATGTATATTAATGTTTTTCAAACATATAGAAAATCTTTTGAATTACATTTCTGTTGAGAAGGAATTCCCTCAATTTTACATGTAAATTCTTATTGTAGTTTCAAATTATTTTTATAGGGCAGTGAATCTGTACATAAAATACTGGATGTGTGGGAAATAAGCAGGACTCATCTGCTGGAATTGGGTCATGATGTAAAGATCGGCGAAGTGCAACCTAGTTGCGGCAAGTTGCTCAATGATAATATGATTGAATGCATCGTGAATAGAAATCTGTTTAACATTGCGGATAGCTATCAATTGCATATTACGCATAATTCCATAAAAGTAAGCGCTGGAAGTCTAGCAGGGCTGCATTATGCGGTCTGCACATTCGTGCAAATTCTGCGTCTGAGTAAGAATCAGAGTAGGTCGGAAGTGTGCGAAATAGAGCCTGTCTTCATCAAAGACGAGCCGAGATTCACACATCGTGGTATATTGTTGGATATCTCGCCTAGAGGACGCGTACCGATCTTGGAATATCTTTTACATATTGTTGATCTACTTTCATCGTTTAAGATCTCGCATTTGCACCTCTACTCCAGGCTCGTTCAAAATTGCGACTGGCAACTTTGTTATTCCAAGTCCGAGATGGTAACTCTAGACAGATATTGCAGGTACAAATTATATATTTATATAATTCTAAGAATCCACTTTTTAAATAAGAGATTTCCGATTTTTTATGAACTTTATTTATACCATCACTCTTTTCATTGTGTCATTTTTAATTGCGATCTTTTTACATATTTATTATATAATTTACATGTTAAATGGAGAAGTTTTTATGTTACGTAATTTGGAAATTAATTTTTTCAGAGATCGTCATTTGGACATAGTTCCAACGTTGGATGTCGATTCTAATGTTAGTCAACATCATTTGATGCAAATGTGGCCTATCTTTCAAGACTTGCTCGCAGTATTTCCTAGCTTAAATTACGTTCACGTAGGTCCTCGATTAACCACTTTATTAGTACAAGCTGATAGCTTTGATTTGAGTGTGTCCGTCAACGATACGCTTGAAACGGACATGTCGGAAGTATTCAAGTCTTACTCGTGCCTTCAAGAACTCTGGCATATCCTCAATTTGAGCTCGAACACGACTCTACTTTTATGTTCCAACAGTTTACATTCCAAATCCGAGTTTCACAATATTCCTACTAATATCATATTTGTTGAATATGGATTTCAGGTGAGAGTTAAATTTCTTCTTTCAATTTTGTATGATATACTCGCAGGGACAATTATTGAAGTAAAATTTACTATAAATATCCGAATTACAGGCTGATTATGATTTCTCCGAATGGACGGAGCCATTTAGACTAGGTGGTGGTAATGTATTACCAAGTTCTGGCACAGCTAGTTACAATAGTTTGGCTGGATGTCCAGCATCGACATATGCTAACACAAAAAATGCGATAAAAACCTCTTTGGAGCAAAACTCGATCGGTATTATTGTCGCACATTGGTCGGGAAGTCATCATCTTACCCCGCATCCTTTCGCGTGGATCGGTTATTTAATAGCGGCTGGTTTAGCTTGGAACTCAACGACAGAAATAGATTTAGGACCTGATGATAATTATGACATCCCTGAGTTGTCTGTATCAGTTAGGTAACTGTTACAAAATTTGCAATCTATGATATATTCACACTCATATTTTATAAAATCGTTTTGTTTTGTAGAGAAAGATATATCACAAAACTATTGGATATACACGTGTTTCAAGATTCAGAATATAAAATCGGTAACGCGATACTGGAATTGGGACGTTTGGACACATTGGTACTAACATTAAGTAAAAATCAAGCGGTCAAAGATCTGCAGCAAATACCAGATAATCACGGTTCTACGTTATATAGATTACTGACTGATCCGGATAATGTTAATTTGGAGTATCTTTCGGCCGACCTATTTGCTGTAAGTATGTTCGTTTTAATACGCGAAATATCTTAATATTTTAAGGATGAATAGCAAGATAAGATACTCAGGTATTCCGAATTAATTCGCTATTATGCATTCGTAGAAAATGACAAAGCAGATTAAGCGAATATCCCATTCCTTGTATGAGGCAAACTTATCCTCCAAGTTCGCGTCTATGGAAATACAGGAATTACAATTGACATCCGATCTGATGCTGACGGCTTGTAAAATTGGTAGAACATTGATTGGAGTTGGTGTGAATCCAAACAGCAACATGGGACTCGCTGTTATTAATTTAGGAGTATGTAATCTGCCGCCTACTTTCAGAACCGATATAGCAAACAAGATGTTGGCTCATATAGAACAATATAAAGGCTCCTGGTTGCAAAGACATTTTCCACAGGGTCTCCAGGATTCATTGCTAGTTTTAACTAGTGCGCTGCATAGGTTTGTGCCGGCGACATAAGTTTTTTTTCTCTTTTTAAGTATACAAAATATTTAGTTTATACTGCAATCTACAAAGCACAAATGTCTAAAAGACTTTTACAGAACATCTCTCTCGAACTTTTGTGTTATTCGAGATTTTAATCGACTGCAGTGTGCAAGTACTATATACGCGGCAAATGAAACATGTAATACATACAGGATTTCAAGATATATTCGAGGAAAACTATTGAGAGCAATATGTATTTTTATCCTTATATATTATCACTACTATTGTATGTTTGCTATACTGTATTGTTTCTCAGTATTAGCAAATTTATTCTCAAGATACTTTTGAAAAATAATATTTTATTAAGAAAGAATATAATTTTATGCTAAGAAGTTTTGATTATAAAAAGAATGTTTGTTTTATTAAATATAAAGACATTTATTAATTATCTTTATTGTCATTGTTAATTGCATAATAATTCAGTGAATCACAGCTAACATAAGTAACAATTCAGTGAATCACAACTAACATAAGTAACAACGAGTAGTGTTTGAATATGTTGTTTATTTTCATATGGACGTATGTGCAAATGCAGAGTTCAAAAAATTCTCTTTCGCAATGAGGTAACATATTTTTTATATTACAAACAGATTTAATATAACTATAATGTATCTTATAAATAATATATATAGATCATATACACAAATTATATGCATCTATTGTAACAATTAATTATGAAGAATAATACTAAAACTTTTCATATATATACAATTTTTATACATATAATCATTTAAACTGACTTAAGAACAGGAAGTTTTGCAGGATCTTTATCTAAATGCTTTATCTAAATGCTTTTCAACTGTCATATATCACAATAATTTTTAATTTTTGTCTTACATCACATACTTTCTTTTTTCATAAATTCTAGTTCATATATACTAGTTATTTTATATATTTTAAAAAACTTTAATATTACATAAAAAATATTAATTGAAGAATCATTCAAGCATTTATTATTTCTATTCGTAAATTTGCTAATGAATTTGCAGCAAATCTCTGTCAATTAAAGCTATGTATAGGCGATATTTTAAATGGATTGTAAAATAGAGAATTTGTTATATGTAACACACACACATGTTTCATCAGTATTAAATCTCCACACTTTACGTCATTATTTACATTCATTTGTTAATATAGTATCACTATTTATGAGATTGTTCCTATTTTGTTCGTTCCATCCACCCATCTCCAAATCTTGTTTGTGGATCATTTCTTTTTCGAGTGCTTGCAGTCTATAAAACTCATTGATCTCAAACTGATACTTGGGCGCTGTTATGCCAAAGAAATTGGCCAAGCATTCGCCAACGTAATCGCAACCGTACAACATTTTAGAGCTCAACCATGTGGTTTGGTACCATGCCCATGGTAACCAATTCATATTTTTCTACAAAATTTATAAAATTTTATATTTTCATTGAATAATAAGTATATAATATTATACATACATAATTTTTAATTGATTATATATTTACAGTATCTATCTGTGACACAATTTTATTCTTTGGCGCGTCAACTTCATCTTCTGATGAATATTCTTCCATTACTCCATCCGAAAACTGTAATATTCTCTTTGGCTTTTTACTCAATTTGCGTTTGCACTAGAAATTAATATTTAATAAAATTAAGCTGAGTTAAATTTGTTAAATTTGTTAAATTTATAGAAAAACATTATAGAAATTCTTCTGAAGGATGTCAATAGTTAATATTTATTAGTAATTTAAAAATTAATGAAATTAAATAAATTAAAAAAACATGAATCGAGATTCAAGATGAATATATTGTTATTATTAAAAAAAAATCTTCTATTCAAAAAAACTCTTCAGTATTTAATCTGAAGCTTTATAGAAAATATTCAATAAATTTATACAAAGATTAGCATTGGAATGTGATAACAAATATGTGTGTACAAACAATAACCCAATACGTTTCCCACTCAAAAACTTTGGGTTTACAGAGAGGATTCATTTCTGTAAACTTATTTTTATCTCGAAGGTCAAGCTGTCGTCTAAAATAAAACTATGCGATCCTGATAAAGATCGTTTGGAAGGTTAAATGGAAATACGTATGCTCGGTATCCGGAGATCTGCTTGGTTTTATCTACTTACAATCTTACCTGTGTCTCGGTGTCCGAATTATCCTGCAGAATAACGTCGCTCAGATCCCTGATGTCATCCCTCTCCGATGTCATTGTTGGTCTTATCTTACGGTAAACAAAGCCTCTCGTGCCGTGTCGCGCCCTAATGACTCTCGCCAGTACATTGAGCAAACTCTCTCTCGTTCTCCCCTCATCAGCCAGATGACTCATTCGAGACGAACGAGACTTCGAAAGAAACGGCAAAGCATCGTGATTCCATTGGTGCTGCTGATTTAGCGGTTCTTCTGTTGATCTGCCTGAGGCTGGGCTGAGCAAGCAGTAGGGCACGTTCAGCTCATCTAAAGACCCTTACTGCTTTCCAGAAAGAGACATATTTCATCTTTGTTTAACATTGGCAAATACCAAAGATTACTGTGTTATACTCGTCGTCTTATTCTCTTGCTAGAAAGCAACCCTTACAACAATCTGATGATTTTGATTGTGTTTCATGAAGTACATAATACATTATTTTATTCTCGTTATTCACTGAATGTTAAATAAAGATAAAATGGTATATTATGTACAATATATACGAAACTATGAGTTGTTAAAAATTTACGAGAGAAAGAAAGAGAAATATATATAAATTATACTATTTCCCTTTAATTTATAGTCTCATTTTGTAACTTTACTTAAGATTAGATATGTCTTCCATTTAGTGATACAGATCAAATATCGTTTCTATTTTTCTTTGCATTCCATGAATAGCAAAGACGGAACGATATTTGTATTGACTTATCATTTAAATGGAAAGCACCTTATAGAGTGAGATGGTATGAGTAGAATGAGATAATATACAGAGAGAGAAGAAATATATACTTTTCTCTCGTAAGATTTTAACAAAATCGTGGCCAGATTCTTTGGGTGCGTTTTATTTGACGCTCACAACATTCATGAAATCGTTTCATTCTTATTGTTTATCAAATATTAAACAAATAATGCTGGCGAGCATTGTGAGCGTCAAATGAACTTACCCTTATATAGAGTTTCTTTTTTGAGCTCACCATGGCGTGTCGCTTTTTGTATTCGAAAATGCCATTTTGCGATTGATTTCAGGATCGAGTAGAATTCTATTTCTTTAACTAATCTTCTCTCAAATCTCATTTACCCACTGGCTCTTATAAAATAGGTATGTTCGTGCATGCGCGGCTGCAACTGGCATGAACATCGCAACATTCAAGGCGGAAAAATAACGTAGAATTATATGAAAGTGCAGACACACAATAGAAGAATTTACGATTTCGATCTATCAGAAATTACATTCCGATATATTCAATTTTTATTTAACACTCGTTCTTTAATTGTCCAAAAAGTCCTTCAATTCTTCCTTCTATCTTATCACAGATAGAGAAAATCCGTTAGTCGTCGATGATTAAATCATCTTTATCATTCCGACGATGACATTCATCATTTTAAATAGAACGAACGTGCAGGCATTCACATTTTAAATTATGGAATGAAAAAAAATAAGAGAAGAAAAATTTAAAACGGACCGTTGATTCAAAAAGTCTGTAATATTTTGTAATGGTATTTTTTTTATCCGGCTAATAGATAATAATATTTATTAATTATATATAGATATATATGTATAATATAATATTAATATATATAATATTATATCGCTTATTTGTTACAACAATGATATAACAGAAATTGTTCAAAAACACAAAGAAAAAAAAATGTACTTTTTAAAAGAATATTCGATTTTTTATTTTTCTTCTTTAATTAGTTATTATATTAAAGCTGCACATCAAAATTAACATCACATTTTTATGATTAAAAAATTTGTATAGTATATACAAATTTTAACGATTTAAACAATTGTTTTTTTTTTTAGTGTCGTTTTATTAGTTGCAAATAAACGATATATTGTCGTATATATATGTATTGTATATACAATATTATTATATATACATTTATTATTATATTGTAACATATATATAATACAATGTATCACAGAATACGAAGAGGAAGGGAAATTAATTTTATCGACTGTTTTTGTCCCTTTATTAATTACTTGACACCACACTATTCTTGGAATGATAATAAATATATCGTATATACAATACAATTAATTAATTGTATTGTATAGTATTTATTGTATTGTTTATACGATATAATATTTGTTATCATTCCAAGAATGTGCTGCGAAGTAATCAATAAAGGGACAAAAACGGTCGATAAGCTTGACTACCCTTCCCCTTCCTATTAATATTCCGAGACACGTTTCTATTGGCGGATACAATCGTTCGAGACCTCGTGTGGGCTCCTCGATTCTCGAATCCTGCGAGTTCTGACGTCGAATGGCGAAGGCAAGGCTGCTAACACGACGGACGGTGGCCAGCAAGTTCAGACCTCAAACCGTCCGAAAAAGTTAAACGGAACGTAGCGCGGAGTGGTTGAGCACCCGGGAATGAGCTTGTGACGTATTCTGAGGCCTGGGGATCGATTGCGGAGTTGTCGCAGCGGGCTCCTACGATCTCTCGACGGCGGTGCATGCGGGAGGCGCGTCGGCGGTGCCGTTAATTATGTGAAAGAGATAAGGAATACTACTTCTTGGTGCGGCAAAGGTGGGACACGTATCCCTCACGTCGCGTCATGTTCCATCACGAGTACGAGAAACGGCTGTTGAAGCCGGTGAGCGCGGACGTCTCGACGGTGACGGGCACGGCGACGTTGTCTGGCACTACTGTTGCCACTTACTCGCCCATCTATTTCTCACCCACGAAGACGGCGTACAACAACAGCTACGACCGTTTTATACCTACTCGTTCAGGTAATAACTGGCAAACGACGTTTTCTATGATTAGTGAGAATGGTCGGGGCGGCCTGGTGGCGAAGAAGACACGAGAGAATGGCGAGGGTAGCCGTGACGGTATCGCCTATTCCTGTCTGTTGAAGAATGAGCTGCTCGGAGCAAGCATAGAGGACGTAAAGGGCCAATGCGAGGAACGCAGGGTACTCTCGCCGTTAGTCACTAAGAACCTCTTCAAGTACACCACTCCCACCAAGGATCGGACCTTGCTGGATCAAAGTTCACCATACTCCTTATCACCACTTAGTGCCAAGAGTCAAAAACTATTGAGATCTCCCAGAAAGGCTACCAGGAAGATTTCAAGAATACCCTTCAAAGTACTAGATGCTCCGGAGCTGCAGGATGACTTCTATCTGAACCTGGTCGACTGGTCCTCTCAGAATGTTCTCAGCGTTGGCCTGGGAAGTTGCGTCTATCTGTGGTCGGCATGCACCAGCCAGGTGACGAGACTCTGCGATCTGTCCAGCGATGGCAACAGCGTTACTTCGGTTGCCTGGAACGAGCGTGGCAATCTAGTGGCGGTAGGTACGCATATGGGCTACATACAGGTCTGGGATGTAGCAGTGAACAAACAGGTGAGCAAGCTACAAGGCCATAGCGCCCGAGTGGGAGCCCTGGCATGGAACGGAGAGGTTCTCTCATCTGGCAGCAGGGATCGGTTGATACTGCAGAGAGACGTGAGAACGCCGTGTATTGTCGGCGAACGGCGACTCGGTGCTCATCGGCAGGAGGTGTGTGGCCTCAAATGGTCGCCGGACAATCAGTACTTGGCATCTGGCGGCAATGACAATCGGCTCTACGTGTGGAATTTACACTCCCTCTCACCCATCCAGACATATACCGAGCATCTGGCAGCGGTAAAAGCAATCGCCTGGTCACCGCATCATCACGGCCTGCTGGCGTCCGGTGGCGGCACCGCCGACCGTTGTATTCGCTTCTGGAATACGCTGACTGGCCAACCGATGCAATGCGTCGACACCGGCTCACAGGTCTGCAACTTGGCATGGAGCAAGCACAGTTCTGAGCTAGTCAGCACGCACGGTTACTCGCAGAATCAGATTCTTGTGTGGAAATACCCGAGCCTCACGCAAGTGGCCAAGCTCACCGGACATTCATACCGGGTGCTCTACCTGGCGATGTCGCCCGATGGCGAGGCGATTGTAACCGGGGCGGGCGACGAGACTCTGCGCTTTTGGAATGTATTCAGTAAAGCCCGCAGTCAGAAAGAAAACAAGTCCGTTCTGAATCTATTCACGAGTATCCGATAAATAATGGACTGCACTGGTCATCGTGATAGAGCCTCGCGAAACGTCTTTTATTATGTATTTTGTACATATGCATACACACTCTATCTATCGTCATAAATACATTATCGTAGAGTATTCTAAAGATATATATATATATATATATATATATATATATATAAATAATTACGTTAGAGGTACTAGAAGAAACACATTCTTAGAGAATTGTATAAAGATAAGAATTACGCGATGTTCCCAATTTATAGAATAAGTTCGCGAATTTGTCACATAGTCTACGACACTTGAGTACTTGTGTGCAATACTCGTCGCTATTCTCCGGTATTTCCTTATAAGGAAAGAAAAACAAGATTGCACCGGAGATAATCGCTACGAGACGCTCTATATTTTTTATGCACTTTATATACACTTATTTTTATATGTCGCTACTCTATAGAATTATAAATGAGTGTCCCGGAAATCGCAAATATGACAGCAAATCTGACACAGATTTTTTTTCTTGATTATTGATATCAAATTATAGATTCTTACTCTATTTAGAATTTTGAGATAAACAATATTTTTTATTATTTTTAATCGTATTTCATTCAGATTTGTTTTTTTAATTAACGGGACAGTCGATCGCAGCTATTAAGAATTTTCTCAAGAGAGAAATCTACTCCAGATTTGCCTCTAGATTTGTAATTAAAATTAAGTCGTTCCAGGACACTCTCTGTGCAACGCACTTGCGTTTTTCTATTCTATTTTGCATCTTATGCGACCACGATGTTGGAGCACACACAATCTATATCTTGTTGTATGTACGAATGGGAGTTTATAGCTAATGATCTATTATGCATTTCATAAATTTGTAATCACAGTTCTCTCCTTTGAGAGTATTTGATCACTGGATTTCCGCAACTTTTCGAAATGTCCTTGGAGATATCTGCAGACTGATCAGACTCTGAAAGAGAAAAAAATAAAGTCTGCGAAAGGCTGTCTCGTACTTTTGCTACTGACATTGTCTTGATGTCCCCAATGTGCTCTATTAGTCATTTAAAAAGGGATTTGATTCTACGGAATAATTTTTCTGTCACATTCTTCTATAACTAATACTAATTTATAGTTTAACTCGGAAAACTGTACAAATTTAAGTTGAAACGTGACTTATATCGTGCGGATCTACTAATTTATGTTATAATAAGAAGAATATTTAATATATCGCATTGATATATCTTACGTAACGTTATTCGAAAAGAAAGAAAGAGATGAAGAGTTGATGAGAGAAAATTGTACAATTGAGAAAATCTACGTGTAGTTCGCAGACGTATATACGCATATTTGCGTAATCTATTTTTCGCGATACCGTATATCGTACGTTCGAGTACATGAGTATGTATTTAATAAATATATATATATTGAGATATTAATTCTCAGCGAGTGATGATTATTTCGTTCATAGTTCGCCGGAAGCGAATAATTGATGATTGTCATGTAACATTATACATTATACTCTAGTAATATGTATAAAATATTTTTATACAATAATCACTATTGTGTCGTTAGACAAAATGCGTACACGCCTACGACGCTTTGCTCGATTCACTTTGTTACGGCGATTAACCAGGAAGACGAACCGGAAGTGAAAAAAAAGGGGAATGCAAATTGTTGCATTAAGTCCTACATGCACTGCATTCTATGTGCGCCAAGCAGAATCTGAGTTTCTTCTAATAAGTCATCTACAAATAGAGATGTTTTCTCAAAGTTTCTAGCATCGTTCGATACGTGACGTGTAATTAAAACGAAATGGAAAAACATTTTGTTTTCCGCAATGGACTCCAAAAAGATGTATACATACATATATGATTGTAAACGATATCAGATCTATTAAATATAGCGCGAAAGAAGATACCATATATCAAAATAGACAAATATGTGAGACATTGATAGAACTAGTGAAATCATAAGTAATTATTTTAAAAAATTATAAAATACAATTGCTGTTTTACATATTAAAATAAGGCAAGAGATAAATGAGACGACAAATGTATATAGATCGAAGTCTGCTAGTCAAATTTAGTCAGAATTTTTTCGGATTCA